TATAAAAAAGGAATGCACGCCTATCTCCAGTCATAAAATTACTTAACAGTGTTTACTGTCCTATATTGCATGTCCAGACTAACACAAACATTTATAAGGCATTATAAGATTTTCTGTGCAGTCAAAGAGTTGAGTCTAAAATTTATGTAGGATACAACAGCAAAGCCAGAAGAGCAAATACTAGAATAGCAAAACAATTTTGAAAAAGAAGAAACCTAGAGGATTTTCATCACTCAATCTGAAGATATTATGGAGATACAGCAATAAAGACAGTGGCAAAAGAACAGACATATTGATAAGTGAAACAAAAACCCCAGGAATAAAAGTTTTAAAATATAAAAATTTATAATGGCAACAAAAGAGTCTGATAAGAAAACCATCCACCCAATGAGACTTAGGTATGTACAAAGAATTAATAGACAGGAAATTACAAATAGCTATAATTAATATACTAATGGCTCTGGTAGAAAAGGAATTTGCACTGAGTCCAGGCCATGGGACCATGAGCCAGACCTCTGGATCCAAGCCTAACTCTCCACCTGTGCTCCCTTCTTCACTTTTTCCAACTTCTCTCACCTTGTTTCCCCATTTAGCCAGAGTGGCTGCCGATGTGGCCAGGCCCTAAGCGAGCAGCCAGGTGTGACAGAGGTGGAGATGGTCACTACTCCAGAGAAAGGAGCAGGCTGTCCATTCCTTCCTGTCCCCACACCTCAGGTCCCCACACCCACAACCACTAGGACACCTGTTCTCTTGCTCTTACCTGAAAGATCTTGGCCTGAATTAGTTCAATGGTTCTTGTTCCAGAATTACCTGACCATATACCAGGTCAGGCAGGTAATTTCAACAGACAGACGCAAGCAATAGGACAGCATCAATGACAATGCTAGAAATTTTTAAAAATCGTAACAAAAGGGAAGAAAACTTTCAACATTGCCAAGAAAGAATCAGCCAAATAAAAGACCAATCAACAGAAATTATTCCAACTGAAATGACAAGAGAAAAATGGTAAGAACAAACAAAAGAAAAAAAAATCAACATGTTGTGAGACAATACTAAACTTTCCAATATACACATGTTTGGAATACTAGAAGGAAAAGAAAAAGAATGGAGGAAAAGAAATATTTGAAGAAGTAATGTCTTACAATTGTCCAAAGTAAGGTGACAGACAGCAAATTATAGACCCAGGAATCTTAGAGAATTCCAAACAGGATAATACAAAAACAATATGGAATAAAACATTAAAAATAAAAAGCCTATAGGCATACACAAACTGCTGAAAATCAAAGACACAAGGAAAATATTGATTACAGCTGGAGGAAAAAAATGAATTAACTATATAAGAATAAGGATAAGATTTACAGCAGACCTCTCATTAGAAACCATGCCAGCCAGAGGTACTGGTGTGATATTTTTAAATCTATTGAAAGAAAACAACCATCGAACTGCAATTCTACATTCAGAATAAAAATCCTTCAGATGTGAAGAAATAAACACTCTTGCAAAAACAAAAAATGGGAGATTCAGCAGCATCAGATCTACTCTATTAGAAATGTAAAAGGAAGTTCGACTAGTAGAAAGAATTTGACAACTCTTGGTAATGCACAAATGATACGATTATAGGAAAATATAATGCTTCATTATATTTTAATTTCTGTAACATGCAACTCTAAAGCAATAATTATAACAATAACATATATGATAATGTAATTATTTATAGCATATTAAAATAGAAATACGGTCCAACCGATGGAAGGGAGAAACAGATACGGTGTTATAAGATTGCATACTACCCACGAAGCAGTGCTATATCATATAAAGGTGCACTTAGGTTATTTTAAATTGTATATTGTAAGCATTAGGGCAACCACTAAAATTGCATCAAAAACAAAACAATGACACCCTTTAAAGAAAGCGAAGGAAGAAGAAGACGTATACAAATCAACTGATTATATCTGTGTCTGTTTCTGAGCTGTTTATTTATTTGAAGCACTGGGGATTGGACCCCAGGCCTCACCACTGGGCAGGTGCCCTGACCCTGAACTACCCACCTGTCTTGGGACTTTCTATTCTGTTTCATTCACTGACGCACCTCTTCTTTTGCCACCATCTTCTTTAAAAAATGTATTTCTCTTATTACCTTGACGTTGGGTAGTGTGAATACTCTCATTTTCTTCTTCTCTTTCAGAATAATTTTATTTTTGTAGTAGTTTTTTACTTTCTGTATAAGCTGTAGAATTGGTTTGTTTATTCTATACAAGAATGTTGACTACAACTTTGAGATTGCACTGGGGGGAGTGGATATCTTTGCCATAATGAATCTTGCAGCCCATGAATACATTATACTTTTATTGTCATTTAGATCTTCCATGATTTAGTAAATCAGTGTTTTGTGTTTTTAGTATATCATCCCTGAGCTTATTTTGTTGGATTTAATTCTAAGCATTTTGAGTACAGGAGTGTTATGAATATTGTCTTTTAAATTTCAAAATCCAGTTGTTGATTGTGGCTATCTAGAAAACCAGTTGAGTTTTGTAATTTCACAACCTTATTAATAGTAGGGACATCTTGATAGATTTCTTTGGGAATTCAAATATGTCTTTTATGAGCAGAGATAGTTTTATTTGTTCTTTTCTAATTTGTTTTCAATTTCTTATTGCACAACTTCAAAACACATGTCAAGGTCACACTTTCTGGGCTGATAAGAGCTGTTTTTCCACTTTTTCTGATCCTGATAGAGAACCTAGAACTCTTCTCTCCTATGCCTGGATGTAAGTATATGAACTTATATCTTTGAATCGAGTGCTAGGTGGCCTATTCAGATTCTCAAATATTCTTACAATAGACTTCCAACCTAGACTCCCAAGCTTACACTACAACACGGATCCTGAAATTCACATTCCGCTTGGGTTAAAATGCCTATGAAAAGAAAAATAGCATTTATATTCACATACTACCCTCTATCGTCAATATTTACTTGCTTGTTCAAACAACTTTTCTCCGCAGCTAAATCAATTTTAAATTAATTGATTTAAAAGTGCATCCTCTCTCCCGAGCTGTCTAGAAACAACTGTCCTCAGTTAGGCTTGTCTGTGAGCTTGAATGTCAACTCCACTTCTCCTCCTACATGTCCCTCCTACATGTCCCTTCCAGTTCACCTGAGTAAGGTGAACGTCCGCTTACAGAGAGCTGTTGTCATTCTTGGGCTGTTGATAGGAGCCTACTTCTTAAGTTTTGAGAATGCCCTGTCTTGTTGGGAGACAGAGTCTCCCTTCACTGTAACTGTCCACAGGACAGACACTCATGTTTCCAGGCCCTGGCAGGCAGTGAGGCTTTGAACTAGGTCCAGGCTTGATTAATCAAACGCATCTACTCGGACTTTGAATAGGGACCTAGTTGAGGGGGCATGGGGCTGGGGCCATGGTGAATCCATCATGGCCAGCGTCCAGCCCACAGGGTCGGTGGAGGCAACAGGGCGAGCTGGGCTGCCCAGACCGCAGTGACAGCGATGGTGGCTCACAGCATGGGCCCTGACTGCTGCCCAGCCGCCCTTGTCTTCATCTAGTTTCCCAAGGCTGCATCTCTTCCTTCCTGGCAGCTTGTGATCAACATCTTTGAAGCAGAGAAAAGGCACTGCCTTAGGCAGGAGGGCAGTTGGAATTCCTCTTATGCTGAGCACACAGCTCCCAGCCAAGTCTAGGCCATGCCAAGCGGAAGGCTATTTTTTTTCCTCTTCATCTCTACCACACTTCCTTCCTATCCAGCGGGCCTGCAGTCTGGAGACCAGATCTGTGGGAAAAACTCCCACTACAGGGCTGCATTTTCGTTTTTTGATTCCTTTCCGATGATGTAAGGAGTTTGTGTTTGCAATATCGCCAATGAAGGTACCGAGGAATTTTGGTGAAAGGGAAGTAATTTAAGCGCTGTTGTCGTTGTTATCCTTGGGTTGATGTCACTATGATACGTCTTTCTTCCTGCGTTTTACAGGAAAGCTGCTTTGCAAGTGGTCTCTGGATAAAAGACTCTGCCTGTATTCCTCCAGCAAGTTGAACCATATCACTTGAAGTCTGTGGCAATATAAAACTTTTCCACAAGCCTACTGCTTTTCCCCATCCAAATAAACAGAATATATGACATTTCCAACCGAGGCAGCAGGACAAGACATCCCATTTCATGCTTCAGCAATCTGACTAAGGAAACAAATAGAGATTTTCCTTCCAAATGCCTTTAGGTTATAAGGCAAGTTGATTAAGGCTGCCCTTTAAGCCCCACCAGAGAAATAAATAGATGATGGAATGTGCCTCCCCTTAAAGAGAAAGAGGTGATGCCTAACACTGACTCTCCTAATCAGTTTGACATAAAGCATATTCCTTACAGATGTGGCACTCAACCCATCCCATGTGCAGATGAAAGCCATATGGATTTCAGTTTCCTGTTAGCCAAGAATAAATTAAATCATGTTCTTCTCTCCTCTTTACTACTCCGTTGTGGATTCAATTTCCATGTGGACATGTCAGATATGTTTTTTTCAAAGAGCTAATAAATTGCTTTTTTCCTTTTATCATAGTGATATGATTCTTACCTTTTCTTCTCTTTCTTTTTTTTTTTATCACAACCAGTGAAATCATATAGTGGACCAAAAAAAAAAAGAAAGATAAAAGAGGGAAACAAGTCATGGCTTGTGACATTTGTGTGACCTGTGAGGTATCACAGAAAATCTGATCAGAAAACCTTATGGTCTATGGTGGAAGAATGCTCCTGGAAATCCCCTAAAGGTAGTAACTTGTTTTTTTAAAAAGCGCCACATTTCCCCAGATTTTTAGTAGGATATCATATTAGTTAAGATCTAACTATTTTTACAAATTGAAATCCAGTGGCTCAGTGGCTTAGCAGAAAAAAGAAATTTTTCAGTTAAAGTTCATCCAGGAATGCAGAGTGGATGCGGGCTGGGGTGGACTCTGCACCATACAGTCGGGAATCCAGACTAATCGGGCTCTGCCACCTCCATTTTTGTCATCTGCAGTCCCTTTGGTGCTGGCTTCCAGCTCGGGCTGGGGAGGGGAGAGAAGCGGATTACAGGTCAGCCATATGCCAGGCCTGGAAGCGGGATGTACATCTCTGTTGCATTTTCTTCATCAGCGGTGGTTCGGAGAGATGGAAATGTCTCATAGCAGGTGAGCCCTGGAGGAAAAGGCTAGTTAGTCTCCGATTTCTTTGGAGGAACTGAAATTCCATTTGGGAATTTGGGACCCAGATAGTCCTTATTTAATTAGAATATTCAGACATGTTTTATCTTTCATGAATATGTTTTAGTTAGTTTAATTTTGTAGTGATATTTTAATGATATAATTCACAGTCATTTTAACTTGTTATGATAAATTGCCAATCCTTTTCCACTAGACTGTGCCATTTTTGTGCTACTAATGTAGATGAATCTTTCAATCAGATGTGCTATGTCCTGAAGTAAGTCATTCTTTTTTTCTTCCTGGAGGATGAGTTTATGGATGTATTTCCTAAGCCCTTGCACACCTGAGAATATTTTTCTGTTGTCTTGACAACTTGACCATGTCAGAGTCGGAAAGCAGGGTTGACAGCTGATTATCCTACGTGGGCAATTCTCAGCATACATTTATCCCATCTTTCTCAGGCTAACAAGGATAAAGAAATTTCCACGCTCCCTTTTCTGAGTATCCGCTAGTATAGTTTCTCCTTTCAGAACAATACCTGAGGAAGAAAGCAAAATTTACCAGGAAAGAATGCTCACTGAAGACAAGCCTGATCTCTAGACATTTTTAGACATTACTGAAGTCTGGTGATTTATTATAACCTCAAAACCATGACACCGTTTATTAGTTAATTATTGTTCAATATTCTAAGAGTTAAACAGTTGCCAGTACATGTGTGAGAACTTCTGATTAAAAGACTTTTAGCTGCTAAAAATAGTCATATGTCAGGGTGTGGCGGTGCACTCCTGTAATCCCAGCACTCGGGAGGTCGAGGCAGGAGGTTCGCTGTGAGTTCGAGACCAGCCTGTGCTGCATAGTGAGTTCCAGGTCAGTCTCAAGTACATAGTGAGACCCTGTCTCAAAAACTAAAACAAACAAACAAACAAACAAACAAA